TCTCTCTCCTTCTCTCTCCCTCCCTCCCCCCTCCTCCTTCCCTCCCCTACCCCTTCCCCTCTCCCTCCCTCCCTCCCTCTCTCTCTCTCTCTCCCTCTCGCTCTCTCTTCCTCTCTCTCTCTCCTCTCCTCTCTCTCTCTCCTCTCCTCTCTCCTCTCTCTCTCTCTCTCTCCTGTCTGTCTCCTCTCTCTCTCTCTCTCTCCCTCCTCTCCTCTCCTGCCCTTCTCTTTCTCTCCTCCTCCCTCTCTTCCCTCTCTCTCTCTCTTCGCCCCCCTCCTCTCTCTCCTGCTCTCTCTTATATTTATATATATATATATATTATAATATATATACTAATATATATATATATATATATTATCTTTCTCTTTCTCTCTCTCCCTCTCTTCTCTCCTCTCACCTCCTCTCTCTCTCTCTCTCCTCTCTCTCTCCTCCCTCTTCTCTCTCTCTCTTCTCTCTACTCTCTCTCTCTCTCTCTCTCTCTCTCCTCCTCTCCCCTCTCTCTCTCTCTCTTCCTCTCTCTCTCCTCTCCCTCTCTTTCCTCCTTCTCCTCTCTCTTCTCTCCTCCTCTCTCTTCTCGCTCTCTCCCTTTCCCTCCTCCTCTCTCTCTCTCTCTCTCCTTCCCCTCCTCTCCCTCTCTCTCTTCCCTCCTCTCCCTCTCTCTCTCCCTCTCTCCTTTCTCTCTCCTTCCTCTCCCCTCTCTCTCCTCCTCTCCTTCCCTCTCTTCCTCCCTCCCCCCCCTCTCTCTTCCTCCCTCTCTCTTTCTCGCCTCCCCCTCTCTCTCTCTCCTTCCCTCCCCCCCCTCTTCTCTCTTCTCTTTCCTCCCACCCCCCTTCTTCCCTCCCTCTCTTTCTCTCCCTCACTCTCTCGTCTTCCTCCTCCCTCCCTCCCCCCTCTCTCTCTCACTCTCTCTTTCTTTCCTCCTCCCTCCCCCTCCTCATCCTCTCTCCTCTCTCTCCTCCCTTCCTTCTCTGTCCTTTCTCTTCTCACTCCTCCCCCCTCTCTCTTTCCCCCCCTCCCCCCCCCTCTCAATCTCTCTTCTCTCTTCCCCCCCTCCTCCCCGCCTCCTCTCTGTCTCCCGTTCTTCACCACCCTCCCTACCTTCCCCCTCCCTGCCCTCTCTCTCTCTTTCCTCCCTCCCTCTCCCCTCTCTCTCTTTCTCTCTCTTTCTGTGAATTGGACATGTGTCACTTTGGCGTTTTTTTTCCCTTTCCCGACTGACATAACGGTAAAGTACAATCAAAAAAAAAAAAAAAAAAAAAAACAAAAAAAAAAAAAGATATACTGTCACTGTGACTGTTGATTTTATTCCCTTCATTGTCATCTATTATGCCATTACCATGTCACGGGTATTGAATCATCGCCTGTCTGTATTACTGTCATCATTATTAACCTTATGAGCATTATTCCTGATATTTTGTGAATGGAGAGAAGAAAGTTATTGTTGTTGTTGTTGTTGTTGTTGCTGATATTACTGTTATTATCGGTATTACTGTTTTTGTTGTGGTTATCACTCCCTTGCTTATTCTGTTTACGATTTTCGTTATCATTATCGTTGTCATTATCTTTGTCTGTGTCACTGTCACCTCATTATTTTCATTAATTTTCCCTTTCTCTTCTACTTTTGGTCTCTCTTCTTCTCTTCTTATTCCTTTCCATTATTATCTCTCTCCTTAGAGTTTCCTTTTACTTCTCTCACTCTCTCTCTCTCATTCACTCACACAATTACTCACTTACCCACTCATTAACTCACGCATTTACGCATTCCCTTACTCATCTTCCTCTCTCACTCATTCATTCACGCATCCACTCATTCACCCACTCACTCATTCACTCACTCACCCACTCCTTTACTCACGCATCCACGCACACTCATCCTCATCTTCCTCCCTCCCTCACTCACTCACTCATTCACCCAATCACTTATCCAATCACTTCCTCACTCACTCACTCACTCCCTTCCTCCCTCCCTCACTCATCTACCCACTTATTCACTCACCCACTCACTCACTCACTCACGCATCCACACACACTCTCTATCCTCTTCCTCATCACTCATTGCATCTAACTATCCACTCTCACGCATTCTTATTCTTACTTTCCTTCGCTTCTTCCCTCTCTCCCTTCTTCCTTCAATTTCCCTTCTCTCTCTCCCTTCTTCCTTCATTTTTCCTTCCTCCTCTCTCCCTTCTTCCTTCATTTTTCCTTCCTCCTCATTCTCCTTCCATTTATGTCTCCCTTCCCCTTTCTCCCTGCGTTGTCCTACTCTCTCCCTCTCTGCCTCACGTATCTATGCTCTTCCCCTCCCTCTCCCTCACTCCCTCCCTCCATCAACTTTCTTTTCTCTCTCTCTCTCCGTTCTCTCCTTCACTTTCTCTCCCTCTCTCTCTCTCTCTTTCCCTTTCTCTGTCTCTGTCTCGCTCTCTCTCTCTCTCTTACTCTATCTCTCCCTCTCTCTCATTCTCCACTCTCTCTCTCTCTCTCTCCTTTACTCTCTCTCTCTCTCTCTCTCTCCCCTTTCTCTTTCTCTCTGTCTCTCCTTCACTCACTTTCTTCTCTCCTCTCTCTCTCTCTCTCTCTCTCTCTCTCTCTCTCTCTCTCTCTCTCCTTCCCATCCACCCATCCTTTCCCTTCTTCAAACCCATCCATCTAACCTTTCACCCCCCTCCCCCCAACTCATCCTCCCCCCACCTTTTTCCTCTCTTCTCCCTTCCTCTATCTCCTTCCCACCCACTCATCCGCCTCCCCTCTGTTTCTAACTTTCCCTCTCACTTCTCTCTACATCTCCCATATTTCACTCTCTCTATTCTTTTCTTTCTTCTCCAACCCCTCCCTCTCCTCCCCATCTCGTTCCCTCGTCCCTCTCCTCTCACACCCACCCACCGACCCACCCCTCCTCTCCTTCCCCACTCACCCATTCCCCCCTTCCCTCTTTCTCTCACCCCCTCTCCTCTCACACCCACGCCCGTCCCACCCACCACTCTTCTCCTCCCCAACCACCCACTCCCCCCCTTCCCCACCCTCCACCACCTTCCTCCAACCCTCCCTCTCTCTTTCTCTCCCCCTACCCCCCTCTCTCTCTCACTCTCTCACTCCCTCTCTCTTTCTCTTCCTCCCACCCCCCTCTCTCTCTCTCACTCTCTCCCTCCCTCTCTCTTTTCCTCCTCCCTCCCTTCCTCTCTCGTCCCCCTCTCTCTCTCTCTCACTCTCTCTTTCTCTTCTCCCTCCCTTCTCTCTCACCCCCTCTCCTCTTCTTTCTCTCCCTCTTTTTTTTCTCTCCCTTTCTTTTCTCTGTCTCTGTCTCTCTCACACCCACCCTCCGACCCTTCTCCTCCCCCCCTTCCCCTCCTCCCCCCCTTCCCCTCTCCCTCCCTCCCCCCCACCCTCCCTCGCCCCCACGACTCACTCACAACTCACCACGCCCACCATCAGCACCACCCTCCCCGGCTGCAGGGCCTCGACGAACGCCCGCAGAGAGGCGGCGCGGGCGTGGGGCGGGTGGACGTAGCGGCGGAGGATCCGGGCGGTCGTCGGGTGAATCACCAGGACGCCCACGGATCGCGGGTGGGGGCGCCACGCTCGCCGGCTTCCGCTCGCGTCCATGAGGTCCGTCTTGCCGCTGAGGTCTACCTGTTGGGGGGGAGGAGGGGGGGGGATGGGAGAGGAGGGGAGAGGAATGGGGGGAGGGAAAGGAGGGGGAGGGGGAGGGGGAGGGAGGGGGAGGAGGGAGGGGAGGGGGTTGGGGAAGGGGAGGGAAGAAAGGAGTGGGTTGGGGAGGAGGGGAGGGGATGGAAAGGGGTGGGGGAAGGGAGAGGGAGGGGAGGGAGGGGAGTAGGAGAGGGAGGGGGAGGAGAGGGGAAGAGGGTGGAGGAAGAAGGAGAGGGAGGGGAGGAGGATGGGTCAGGGAGGAGGAGAGGGAGGGGAGGAGGATGGGTCAGGGAGGAATTATTGGAAAAGGGCGGACGAGGGGAGAGGGAAAGAGGGAGATAAGAATTAAAAAGGGGAATCACACACGCACACACACGCACATAAATGTGTGTGCGTATAAGTATATATAAATTAATATACAAATATACACATATACAAAGATATACATAAATATACATATAAATACAATTACATATACATACACACAAACACACACACACACACACTCAACAACCACACACACACACACACTCACACACACCACACACCACACACACACACGCACAACAACACAGCACACGCACACGCACACACACACACGCACACAACACACACACACACACACACACACTCACACACACACACACACACACACACACACACACACACACACACACACACACACACACACACACACACACAACACACACACCACACCACACACAATTATATATATATATAATATATTATATATATATAATATATATATATATATATATATAAACATGCACACCCCCTCATAAATCACCTCATAAACCTAAACTCAGCGGAGACCCAGCGCCGGCATCCCAACCCCCCACCCCCTCCCCACCCACCCCACCCTACCTCACCCAACCCTACCCCCACCCCCCCCCCACTCCACCCACCCCCTACCCCCCCCCTGGTCGTGGCCTCAAGGTATCTGTGTGTAATCACGGCTACCCAGCATATATGCATGATCATGAGCCGCCCAGGATTCTATGCATGGCCATGAGTCTACAGATTTTCAGGCGAAATCATGAACTCGGTTGGGGGATATTGCAGCTATGCAACGGAAATGTATCAGCGCCGTTGAGGCTGTGAACTGTGGATAAATACGAGCGTTTTTATTTTTTTATTTTTTTTTTCTTTTGGTTTGTGGAGGAAAAAAATGGCGAGACACGAAATTAATAGGGAGAAGGAAAGACAGAGGGAAAGATAGAGGGCGTGAAAGAGGGAGATAAAGAGGAAAAGACAAAGGGAGAGAGAGAGAGAGGGAGGGCGAGAGGAAGGGAGAGAGGAAGGGAGACGGAGAGAGGGATATATATAGAGAGAGGGGAGGGATAGAGAGAGAGAGAAGGGAGGGATAGAGAGAGAGAGAGGTAGGGATAGAGAGAGAGAGAGGAGGGATATAGAGAGAAAGGGAAGGGATAGGGAGAGAGAGAGACGGAGGGATAGGGAGAAGAGAGAGGGAGGGAGAGAGAGGGATATAGAGAGGAGAGGGAGGGATAGGGAGAGAGAGAGAGAGGGATAGGGAGAGAGAGGGAGGGATAGGGAGAGAGAGAGGGAGGGATAGGGGAGAGAGAGAGGGAGGGATAGGGGAGAGAGAGGGATAGGGAGAGAGAGAAAGGGAGGGGTAGAGAGAGAGAGGGAGGATAGAGAGAGAGGGGGAAGAGAAGAGGGGGATAGAGAGAGAGGGGAGGGGATAGAGAGAGAGAGGGAGGGATAGAGAGAGAGAGAGAGAGAGGAGAGAGAGAGAGAGAGAGGAGAGAAGAGGAGAGAGAGAGAGAGAGAGAGAGAGAGAGAGGGGGGGGGATAGAGAGAGAGAGAGGGGGGGAGAGAGAGGAGGGAGGGATAGAAGAGAGAGAGAGAGAAGAGAGAGAGAGAGAGAGAGAGAGAGAGAGAGAGAGAAAGAGAAGAGAAGGAAGAGGAGGAGAGAGAGAGAGAGGAGAGAGGAGAGAGAGAGCAGAGAGAGGAGGGGAGGGAGGGGAGGAGGAAGGGAGAGGAGGGAGGGATAGAGAAGGAGAGGGAGGGATAGAGAAAGAGAAGAGGGAGGATAAGAGAAAGAGGCAGAGAAAGAGAGAGAGACAGAGAGAGAGAGAGAGAGAGAGGAGAGAGAGAGAGAGAGAGAGAGAGAGGAGGACGAGAGAGAGAGAAGAGAGAGAGAGAGAAGAAAAGAAGAAAGAGGAGATAGGGAAGAAAGATAAGAGGGAGAAGAAGAGAAGAGAGAGAGGATAGGGAGTAAAGAAAGAAAGAAAGAGGGAAGGAAAAGACTGTAAGAAAGGCAATGGAATAAAGAAAAAAAAAGAAAAAAAGACTTAAGACAATACAAATAAGAGTAAGAAAAATAAGAAACAAGAAAACGAAGAAAATGGAGGAGAAGAAACAAAAAGAAGAGGAAAGAGAGAAACAACAAAAAGAAGAAAAATACGAAAAGAAGAGAAACAACATAAAAGAAAACAAGAAAGAAACAACAAAAGACAACAAAATAGAAGAGAAGAGAAACAACAAAAAGAAGAAAATACGAAGACGAGAAACAACAAAAGAAAAAATACGAAGAAAAGAAAAACAAAAAAAGAACAAAAATACGAAGAAGAGAAACAACAACAACAAAAAAACCGAAGAACGAGAAACAACAAAAAGAACAAAAACACGAAGACGAGAAACACAAAAAGAAGAAAAAATACTATAAGAGAAACAATAAAAAGAACAAAAACACGAGCAGAGAAACAACAAAAAGAAGAAGAGAAAACAACAAAAAAGAAAAACGACGAAACGAGAAACAACAAAAAGAAGAAAAATACGAAGAAGAGAAAAATAAAAGAACAAAAAACACGAAGCAGAGAAACAAAACAAGAAAAGAGAAACACAAAGAAGAAAAAAACGAAGAACGAGAACACAAAAAAGAACAAAATACGAGCAGAGAACAAGAAAAAGAAGACAGAAGAAAGAGAAACACAAAAAGAACAAAAACAAACGAAGAAGAGAAACAACAAAAAAGAAAAGAAAGAGAAACAACAAAAAGAAGAAAAACACGAAGACGAGAAACAACAAAAAGAAGAAAAATACGAAAGAAGAGAACAATAAAAAGAACAAAAAGAAGCAGAGAAACAACAAAAAGAAGAAAGAGAAACAACAAAAAAACAAAAAAAAGAGACGAAGCAGAGAAACAAGAAAAAGAAGAAACGAGAAAGAGAAACAACAAAAAAGAACAAAAAACACGAAGAAGACGAGAAACAACAAAAAGAACAAAAAATACGAAGAGAGGAGAAAAACAAAAAGAACAAAACACGAAAGAAGAAACAAAAACAAAAAACACGAAGACGAGAAACAAGCAGCAAAAGAAGAAAGCGAAGACAGAGAAACCCGCCGAGGACAGCAACACATCCCACCCCGCTAAGCGAGCATCCTCGAGAGACGTCGCGAGGAGCCAGCCAGCCCAGCCAAACCAGACACAGACAGACAGACAGACAGACAGACATAATCTCCCATCTAGGTCAGGGAGGATGTTACATCACTCGATCAAAAGGACATTCAATAGCTAAGCTCCCAGTGGCCGTCGCGTTCCTGCTGTCTCCATTCAGGATTCGCCGAAACCGCTGGGAGGGCTTGGGAAGGAGGTCCGAGCCGAGGGGGGAGGGGGGGGGAGGACGGGGCCGCTCCTCGGGGTTGAGGCTGGGGGAAGGAGGCTGTGTGGTGTGGTGTGTGTGTGTGTGTGTTGTATATATATATATGCTATAATAGTATGTATTATATATATATATATATATATGTATATATATATTATGTATATATATATACATGTTGCATATTATATAATATATTATATAATATATATATATATATATATATATATATGCATATATTGAAGATAGATACATGTAATATAATATAATAATATATATAATATATATATTATATATATATATATATATATATATATATATATATATACAATATATACATATATGTAAATAAATAAATAATATATATATATATATATATATATATATATATATTATATATGTATATATTTATATAATTTATATGCACACACACACATACATACGCACACACACCATATATATAGTATATATATGTGCATATATATATATATATATATATATATATATTATATATATATATATATATATATATATATTCCTATATATACATATATATTCATTTATATACATGTTTCGCCGCTTACATATATACAGATATCTATCTATCTATCTAATATTTATCTATGTATCTATCTATCTCTCTGTCTGTCTGTCTCCTCTCTCTGCCTGTCTCTCTCTCTGTCTGTCTGTCTGTCTGTCTGTCTGTTCTCCTCTCTCTCTCTCTCTCTCTCTCTCTCTCTTCTCTCTCTCTCTCTCTCTCTCTCTCTCTCTCTCCTCTCTCTCTCCTCTTCATCCTACTCTCTCTCTCCTCTCTCCCGCACTCCCCCCCTCCCCCCTCCCCTCCCCCCGCCCCCCCCCCCCCCTCCCTCTCTCTCTCTCTCCTCTCTCTCTCTCTCTCTCTCTATTATATATATAATATATATATATATATATATATATATATATTATATATATATATAATATATATAATATTATATATATAGACAAAGCAGAGCAAGGAGCCACCAGCCATCACGTGACAGAAGCCACGACCGCGCCTGTGGCCACCACCGCTAGAGTCACCCGCCCGCCAACTCGCTACATTCAGTCGAGCGCCTTTTCGCTACTTACCGGCACGCCCTGGACGAAAGCCTTGACGCTGTGTCTATCTATTCTGACGATGATAGATAGGTCGTCCGGAGGGGGTGGTCCTTGGAACATGGCGCGCACGACTTTGGCTGTGGCTGGGGGGGAGCAAAAGGGGGGGGGAGGGGGGGTTAATGAGTGAAGATAATGATGATGATAATGATGATGATAATAATAATGGTATGTATTATAGGTATAATGGTTTTGGTAATATTCATCAATCATAATGTAGGGGGGGGGGGTTAATGAGAGTAAAGATAATGATGATGATAATGATGATGAAATAATGGTTATGTATTATAGGTATAAATGGTTTGGAAATATTCATCATCATAATGTAGGGGGGGGGTTATGAGAGTGAAGATAATGATGATGATAATGATAATGATAATGAATGATGATAATATTAATGGTTATGTATTATAAGGTTAAATTGTTTTGGTAATGTTCATCATCATAATGTAGGGGGGGGGGGGTTAATGAGAGTGAAGATAATGATGATGATGATGATAATAATGGTTGTGTATTATAGGTATAATTGTTTTGGTAATGTTCATCATCATAATGTAGGGGGGGGGGGTTATGAGAGTGAAGATAATGATAATGATAATGATGATGATAATATTGGTTATTTATTATAGGTATAATGGTTTTGGTAATGTTCATCACCATAATGTAGGGGGGGAGGGGTTAATGAGAGTGAAGATAATGATGATAATGATGATGATAATAATGGTTATGTATTATAGGTATAGTTATTTTGGTAATATTCATCATCATAATGTAGGGGGGGGGGTTAATGAGAGTGAAGATAATGATGATGATAATGATGATGATAATAATAATGGTTATGTATTATAGGTATAATTGTTTTGATAATATTCATCATCATAATGTAGGGGGGGGGGTTAATGAGAGTGAAGATAATGATGATGATGATAATAATGATGATAATAATGGTTATGTATTATAGGTATAATTGTTTTGATAATGTTCATCATCATAATGTAGCAATCATTGTACTACTGCTGCTATTACTCCTATTACTATAACTACTATTGGTAGCGATAGTGACAGCAATGATGATAATGATAGTAATGATAATAATATTAGTAATAATAATGATATTAATGATAATAACATTAGTAATAATAATGATGTTAATGATAATAACATTAATAATAATAATGATAATAATGATACTAATAATAGTAATGATAATAATAATAATAATATTTATAATAACAATAAAAATGATAATAACAATAATAGTGATAATAATATTAGTAATGATAATAATAGTAGTAATGATAATGATAGTGATAATAATAATAATAGTGATAATAATATGATAATTAATAATAATAATAATAAATTAGAATAATAATAGTGATAATAATAATAATAGTGATAATAATAAAAACAATATTAATAATAAGAATGATAATCATAATGATAATGATGAAAATATTAATAACAACATTTAAAAAAAGGATAATAATAACAATAACATAACATTTGCGAATTCGATAATATACGTTTTTTTCCTAATTGTATCAGTACTCGACCCCAATATCATAGGAAGG